GTAGGCCGTGAGCAGTGTCTGTTTGGTAAGCTTTAGGTGAACACAGCCCTTTCCTCACCTCCTTGCGGCTTCCCACTGTTCCCTGGGAGTCTTGTATAGCCATTCGTAATGCTGTTGCCTCCTCTGTGGGAAGGAGGGGTGGGGGGGAGGGGGGAGAGAGAGAGAGATTTAAGAACGATATGGTCGGAGGTCCTTCTATCTGAGTGTTCGTAGAGAGAAAAGAGGGGGATGTGGTTTTCATGTTGTAATTTATCTAAACGCAAATTATCTATCTCTAATGACGAGCACACAGATAAAGGGTATTGGATATCGTTCTTTTTTTTCTCCCCCTTTAGAAATAATTTTAAAAAAATCCACTATACCATGGATTCAATGGCTCTTTAGCATGGCGCTCTTCCCCTTAATATATTTTTTTCTCTCTCTGTCTGCGCCTTTTGGACAAAATACGCCACACCGTCACAACTGGTACTTCTGACGGGGTAAATTAACTGTGGCGCAAGGGATTCCACTGAAACTCGACGCGTCCAGAGTTGATGGCGTGGGTTGTCGCGTGTAGGGAGGAAGGGCTTATATACTACTAACCTGCCCGTTGCAACACATGCAACTGTAGCGCTCTAATTTAACCCTTCTCATTTTTTTTTTCTAGTTAGTGGTATAGTCTCATAAGCTCAATTCACACCATTAACAATGCCACAGCTTATTAACCCAAACCAGTAGTACGGGTAGTTGGGTTGGTTCAGTGCTTGCGAACAACGGATTTCAAGGCGCATTGGCCAAGGGTATTTTTTTTTTTTTTTTAGGTTCAGATAGCATGAGGGAATATAGCTTAGCTTCATCGGTGACGTCACGCATGCATAGAACCTGGTGACTGAGCTTACATACTCTTTTTTTTTGTGTCAGAAAAAAACCCTAAGACTACCATTGCATGCCTATATATACATTTTTTTTTCTCTTCTGCCGCGTGATGGCGTGCAGTTGCTATATCAGTCAAGTTTTGATCATCGATCATATAAGGAATGAAATCGTCAAGTGACAGATAAGCCATATGCTAAAAGAATCATAGATTTTATGCCTCTAACGCGAGCCTCTTAGACAATGCTTCTACCGGCGTATGCCTAGTGCCGCATGTTGCCATTTTTAGCGTTTTATTATACTTTTATTCTAACCTGAATTTATATTATGTGAAGGGAAAACGGTATATGCATGATTTATTGTAATTGATTAAAACAAAACTACTGCTTCTCCCATGTATATATATATATATGTGAGTGTGTGTGTGTGTGTGAGTGTGTATACATATATAATATATATACATATGCTTGTGTGGGTGTGTGTGTATATATATATATATGTGTGTGTGTGTGTGTATATATATATATATATATATATATATATATATATATATATATATTTATATATGTATATGTATATATATATATATATATATATATATATATATATATATATATATATATATATATATGTATATATGTATGTATGTTTGGGGAGACAGTCGCGTCAACCCTTCCTGTGACTCACCCGCTGCTCAAAGGCGGCAGGTGAGGCCGCACTTCCCTTTATTTACCTTGCCACAACGGTAAGTGTCTCCTTCGTCTGTGTGGCTTTAAGGTGGAGGAGGTCATCTTCGACTCTTAGAAGACTGTCAATATTTCTTTCCTAGACGTTTTACTACAGGTGTGTTGGGGGAAAAGGTAAGTGATGAATACTTTGTTGGTCATTTATACTTCCCTTGAGATACACATTTTTATAAATATGTATAAAAAATGTCTTGTCCGATTGGTAGATTAGAAGATAGGGAAACAACGAACGAAGTAAGTCGTAATGATAAACACTAGTGAGATAAGTGTCCATTAACAAGGAGCTCAGATGCTCCCGATAGCAACAAGAGATTCATGACTCAAACACATTACCAAAACCACAGAAGGACGATTAGGACAACAACAACAACAAAAAACAGCTTTACACGCATCAAAGAAACTTTTGGGTCTTGCAAGTATAGACCGAAGTCCCCATTATACGGACCGAAGCGCAGGACAAGAAGCCTACACACACGGCACTTTGACCCAAGGAAATGCCGCCAATCTGTCTCTGTGACCCGCGGGGCCTCATTATATTTTATGAATGTCTTTTACGCCGTTCCGAAGGAGACACACGACAAGGGTTCATTTCCTCAGATGTTTGCTTCACGGCGGAGGGATGACGCTGGGGAATGTGTAGCCCGGGGGACGTCGCAGGCAAGTCCTTCCAGCGGCTTCGACGGCGAACGGCCCCGCGCTCGGACTCGTGTCCTCCGAGAAAGAAAAGATCTTGCTCGTGTCGTTTAACTTCCCTTTTCCTAGTCGTCGTGTCGTTTACCTTTCCTTTTCCTAGTCCCCGTGTCGTTTACCTTCCCTTTTCCTAGTGTAGTTTACCTTCCCTTTTCCTAGTCGTCGTGTCGTTTACCTTCCCTTTCCCTAGTCCTCTTGTCGTTTACCTTCCCTTTCCCTAGTCCTCTTGTCGTTTACCTTCCCTTTTCCTAGTCGTGTCGTTTACCTTCCCTTTCCCTAGTCCTCTTGTCGTTTACCTTCCCTTTCCCTAGTCCTCTTGTCGTTTACCTTCCCTTTTCCTAGTCGTGTCGTTTACCTTCCCTTTTCCTAGTCGTCGTGTCGTTTGCCTTCCCTTTTCCTAGTCGTCGTGTCGTTTATCTTCCCTTTTCCTAGTCGTCGTGTCGTTTACTTTCCCTTTTCCTAGTCATCGTGTCGTTTACCTTCCCTTTTCCTAGTCGTCATGTCGTTTACCTTCCCTTTTCCTAGTCCTCGTGTCGTTTACCTTCCCCGGATGGAAATTTATCCGGTGATACTATCTATCGGTATTAAAAAAAAAAAAACTTTCGAAAAGCAGTGGTATAATAACTCCAATAACATCGCTAAAATCTCATTCTCTGTTGCGCGGCGTCATTCCCTAAGCGGAGGCCTGAGTGGTTCTGGTTGTTGACACCACACGTGACTTTTGGCACAGCTGCTTCGGTGCGCCCAGGGGTCAAAAGCAGGTGGGATTAGGAGCATAGGGCGGGAGGGTGGTGGGTGAGGGAAAGGGTGGTGGGCGGGAGGGAGAGGAGAGAGAGAGAGAGAGAGAGAGAGAGAGAGAGAGAGAGAGAGAGAGAGAGAGAGAGAGAGAGAGAGAGAAGAGAGAGAGAGAGAAAGAGAGAGAAGGATCGGATGGTGGGCGGGAGAGAGAGAGAAGGATTGGGCGGCGGGCGGAAGATATATATACATATATATATATATATATATATATATATATATATATATATATGTATATATATATATATATATATATATATATATAGAGAGAGAGAGAGAGAGAGAGAGAGAGAGAGAGAGAGAGAGAAAAGAATCGGGCGGCGGGCGGGAAGACTTGAGAGGAAGAAAATAATGGTGTGGGCGGAGTCAACATTCTTCTGTCGTCATGGTAACGTGGGGCGGCTGTGAGCATAATCCTGGCCCTGACGGCGCGTAACGGACAAATGACTTGAGAGGTTTAAGTAATCATTAGTTATCACCCCGACTGTCAAGGCATCGCGCGCCAGGTGACCGGGAGGCACGTCTGAATTAGAAATCCTTGCAGACGGATGCATGCAGCGGCGGAAAGAAAGCATGTGCGAGGTCTAATATTATGTGTACCTCGTTATCTAAAATGCGTAATTATGCGACGACAGAGCGGGAATGTAAACACGCACCCCATGCACATATCCGTATACCTATACTAATATTGACACATGCACACGCACGCACACACACACACACACACACACACACACACACACACACACACACACACACACACACACAACATACACACACACACACATACACACACACCACACACACACACTCACACACACACACACACACACACACACACACACACACACACACACACACACACACACACACACACACACACACACACACACACACACACACACACACACAAAAGCTTTTTTTTATATCAGCTGTACATACTATCCGTCTTTTCGGAGAGACAAACAATTGTCCACAGTGACATGCATGGCTTACGGCCGTCAATCAATCGTGGGTGGATGGAGGGGTAAGAAGGATGGAAGGATGGATGGATGAATGGATGGGTAAGTGGATGGGTGGATGGATAATTGGATGAATGGAGGGAGGGATGGGTGGGTGGAGGGAGGTAGGGAGGGACAGGTGGATGGAGGGGTAAGTGGATGGATAGAGGAGGAAGGGAAGGAGGGAGGGAGCGATGGAGAGAGTAGATGGATGGATGGATGGGTGGAGGGAGGGATGGAGGAATGGTGGGTGGAGGGAGGTAGGGAGGGACGGGTGGATGGAGGGGTAAGTGGATGGATAGAGGAGGGAGGGAGCGATGGAGAGAGAGATGGATGGATGGGTGGATGGAGGGAGGGAGGGAGGAATGGGTAAGTGGATGGATAGATGGAGGAATGGATGAAAGGAGGGATAGGTGGCTGGAAAGAGGGAGGAAGGGAGAGGTATAGATAGATGGATGGATAGGTGAATGGATGAGTGGGTGGATGGATAAATTGATAAATAAATGATGGATAGATATACGGATGGTTGCTTGAATGGAAAGGTGAATAGAAGGAAGGAGGTAGGGATAGATAGATGGATGGATAGGTGAATGGATCGCGTTTAATCTCCATGGATAATTGATCACTTGCGGAGGTTTCCAGGCGTTGCCAAGAATATGACCAACTTCTTGCTTGAAGTTTTCCTCTTTCTGGGGAGAGACTTTGATGATCAAGTTGACATCATCTGGTATCATATATACATGTGTGTGAGTGTATATGTATATATATATATATATATAGGTATGTATATAATTATGTATGTATAGGTGTGTGTATACATATATATACAGACGTGTGTGTGTGTGTGTGTGTGTGTGTGTGTGTGTGTGTGTGTGTGTGTGTGTGTGTGTGTGTGTGTGTGTGTGTGTGTGCGCGC